ATGGGTATGTGTCACAATGGATCTCGGTGTTGGTTGGCATTTAGAAGGCAACCAAAAAAGAATCCATCCATCCATAGGGGGCCGATCCCAATGAGGATCACACACTGCCGGGGTTTGTTTGATGGCCATTCGGATCTGAGGACATCGGGGCTGGCGTTTTTGGGCATGGGATCCAAGCGACTGAGACTACTTACCCCTGAAAGCTCCCTGCGCCCTGGGGAAGTTAATCTTTTACAGACATATAGCCCGTGTTACCCAAAAGTTGCAAAAGTTGCGTTTTTAAGAAATAAGGCTAGGATATAGTCCCAAGACTTCTCAACTCAACCTGGATTCCAGCAACCCGATTCAAACCAATTACCTGTTGTTCAAAACACATGAGACAAGTAGACCCCCTCAAATTTTACGCCTTTGGAAACTGAGACCGCATCGAAGCCGAAGCAGATACCTGTTGCTCGCATGAGATAGGTGCGCCTCCCTCACGGTTCTGCCTTGGGGCTAGGTCTTGGTTGCTGACCCTGCAAGAAGTGAATCACTTCTTGGGGGGTTCGTGGAAAACCCCTTGATGTCCCCAAAAAGTCTAAAGATCCAACCCAATAGCAGTTAAGATGTCCGGGCCCCAAACTACCAGTAACAGTAAAGAGAACAACGCAGAACACACTTGAGAACCATCTTGCGGATCTAGCTGCAACACACCAGGGCCAGATTTGCCCCACAAACAATCCATGGCCCAAAGGAGATTGACTCCGAAAGGTTAACCCTTTGGAGCCCTCCCTAAACCTTGTCCAAAACGGGCTAAAACGCAACATGTCAGATCCGTGCGCAAATAGTGCCCCAATAAAAGCGTAGCAAAGAATCACAAGGGCGGCCGCACCCATACAAGGGCACTGTGCGCTCCCAACCTTCACTTTCTAGGTTTTGATTCTGGCTCATGCTGAGCGTCTTTACCTTGCTGGTCCTCAATCCAATCGAGAATCAACAGAGGTCGTGGGCATGAACCGGCATGGGCTTCCTGAAAAGGAACCTTGGGATGGTTCATAGGCTTTACAGGCGTCATTCCCCTATGAACCAGCAAATGAACAAGGCAGGTCGTATTCGGATTTCGGGTGCGTCTTCTTTAGGGGCCCCTGGTTTCTGGGATTAGCAAAACCGGCACGAGCCACCCATTTGTGAGTTGCCAGCTCTGTCAAGCAGCTCATGCGCGCCAGCAGAACCCAGGATCTGGATCTGCGGGCACCTGTCCAGTGACCAGGCTATGATTTCTAGAGGAAACATGGAAAAAGGGAAAGTGCTGCTTAAGGGGTGCTCTAATTTGCTTCTGGTCACTTCCTAGTTGAACATGATGCCACCACAGTTACAGAGCCGAACGGGCTGGAAATGATGCTCAAACAGGCTGACAATGTGTTTCTGCATGTGCGTTGCACACCTATAGATCAGCTCCACCAAGTGTGGCAAGCCAAGCTGAGCCTAAGCTCCATTACAATTGGCATTGGGCGCTGCACAACTGAACTTCACAGTTGGGTCCAGCCCGAAAGACACGCCGATCGACGTTCCTGCACCTCTGAACAAAGACCAAATTGTGTTTTCTTTGCCGGAGAAAACATAAACCTACTTGCCCAAAGAATATGGGAATTCAAGGTCAAGCATTAGAGTCATCTTCTCAACCAGCTGAGAACCTACCAGTGGTATGCACAGGTTGGGCTTTTGGCTGCGGCATACGGCCATCACTACAGAAAAAGGCGGCACATGTTTGCAAGTTTGGTGTTGAACAAGTCTAAATATGCCAACACCACAATATGTGATACTATGTGTACTCAACATTCCGCAAGCCGGATTCATCAAAGCTATCTTGTAGATCGCCTGAGTAATCAGAACACGCTGTTAAAATGGTCGATCCCCAGAATGCTTCAAGAATTAAGAAGGCGGAGCGGAAAACGGACACCCAAATGGCTACAAAAAACTATCAAGTCCAACTCGCCCAGGGCCCCGGCGTCTTGGGAAGCCTGGCGCGGGCGCGGGAGCATGGGCCTCCCTCGAAGGCTGTGTTCTCACCCAAAACCTATGGCCGAAAACCCGAGAGCTGAACAAAAAGCGTATCTTCCTCATGTTCCTTAAGTCCCTCCAACTATTGTCCCAAGCTGCAAGCTTGGGGGAACTTGTCCGGCTGAGCTTCGGGGTTCGGAGCTGGGTTTTGGAGGCTGGGGATGTTGCCAATGCCACCCCCCAATCTTCAGACTCGATGCGCCGAGAGAAGGCCCGCACATACCTGATGAGCGGGCACCGGACGCCGACGCTCCTTCAACAAGGCGAGCAAAGCGATTGCCCCTTTGGCTTCTCACTGAAGGATTCTTGCGACACGCCGTCTCGCCCTCTCTCTCGCCGCATCCGCTTCCTGCTTCAAAGCTTCGGCGCAAAGCATCAACACCATGCCGCTCACAGCACGCTCGCTGCGAATGCGCGGCCGTGTTCCTCCAGAATCCTCGCGGCTGAATGAGTCACGGGTTCCGGCAAGCGCCTTTGGTCGTGAAGGTCATGGGAAACTACCTTGTAAAATCCAAACATATCCAAACCTCATGTTGAAATGTTATACGCGTTGCTGTTGAAAAGGATCAATGGAGGAAACCCGAAACGCCAAAGAGGTCAGCTACTGCCATTTTCTTGGGAAACATATTTCCAGAAGTGATCGATTCCCCTTAAACACAAGGGAAATTAACACATATTCTTAAGCAAGTGAAAGGCTAAGTCTGGTACATTGTGCACAACCCGAGGGCAAAGCTATGCTCATGCTTCGACCCAGTCACTAGGGCTGGACGGACCGACCACAGTGATTCCATTAGGAATTGCAAGCGACTCACCTGAACCGTGATACTTTAAAGGCGTTGTTTGCATAGGTGTCCTTTTAGGGGAAATAGATGGCCCTGGTAGACGATTCAACCACAAGGTAAACCAGGGCCATCTATTTTTCGACCAAAACAACCAAAAAGGACACCTATGGTTGATTGTTTTTAATTTGCAACCTGCCAGAAATCAACCGTAGACGTTGGGAAGCTATAATTCTCCAAACGAAACATCAGGGCTCGGGCCAAACCACAAACACGAGTTGAACAATCACGCGCCCGAAACCCCCAGTGAGGATATGTGTAAAAGAAACCCTGCCCCACCTCACCCCTCGCCCCCCCACCCCAAAAAAAGGGAAGGGAGCAACCCACTGTGTGTCTGAGGAGGCAATCTTCTTGCCTTACACCCCGAATAAGAGGTGCAGCGAATCAATGGCGCTTGCCCTGCTTCGAACAAACCACCTGTTTAAGGGCTGTTGGCGGGCCTCATGCCTGGTTCTACTAATGTGGCTGTCCCTGGTTGTATTCGGGATTCATCACTTTTTGGAGTGGAATACACCCAACAAAATACATTCATCCGGGGTCAGCATTAAGCCTGAAGGCTTTTCGCCCCCATATTCCGGGCGCCCGGGCTGGCTGTGCCCGCCAACTCCTGCCAGCCTGGGCTCGGCAACCAGCTTTCACCGGACTGCGAGCGCACGACAATCGACCAAAGTTGGTCTCCATGAAATGGCGGGTCATGTCACAACCATTGCTTCTCCCCGAAGTACCGTCCTTAGACTGTACCAAGCGACCCTCCGGGCATCCATTTTTTGGGTCCCCAACCTGCGCCCAGCGCTCGCTCTCGCGCCCTCCCCGAAAAGAATGTCGCCGAGCCGCGGCCAGTGGCGAGCCTTTGGCGACGCCACATGCCCAGAGCCACCTGCGCGCTGCGAGCCTATGGGGCCATGGTGTACTTGTGCTGGGCACAACATCCGGGTGAATTATAATATTGCACCAGCCTGAAATAAGGTGGTTGGGGGGCCATTCCCCACATAAACCACCATTTGCGGTGAGGTCGTGTGAGGACGTTATAATTCACCCGCACAACATTGACGTGGGTAGGAGTTGAAATTAAACTGCCAGACCACAGGTTTTAGTCCATGGTTCCATTTACCAGGCTTCCGTTTTGGGTTCCCATTTTTGGCCCTATGAACACCCCAAATGCTCACTCCACGGGACTAAATGTTGTTTTTGTGGCAAGGGGTGACGCAGTTGCGCCCCACATTCGCATGGCTTCCCCAACGTCATGGCGATCTCTTTTGGTCCTGGACTTCCCTTTTGAGTATCCAAAACTGAATGTCGGCCGAGTAATCAGACTCGTAATCAACCTGGTACGTGGTACCGCGGGGTTGTTTCCCAACAAGAGCCAAAACTCTCACACAACAATAAATCCTTCCCTAATCAACCAGGGGTTTATGTTGTTTGGTGCTTGTCCATTCCAGAGTTCGCTTAGGGACAAGGTCGATAGTAAAACGGTCTGGTGCTGATTCAACTACCCCACAGGATATGTCAGCAGACTGACTCTTCGCGGCCTCGGACAAAGATGAAACAGAGGGGGGGATCGCAAAAGGTCGCCCTTGGAGGGGGCCCTTGGCTCGGGCAAGGATTGGAGATGCGCAACTCCTTGGTTGCTGATTCCTATGTCAAAAGCTTTTGACTTTTTGCGGGTTCAATTCGGAAAACCATCGATTTCCCCAAGAGTTAGAGTCCAAAATGATCCAACCCAGTAACAATCAAGAAATACTTCCCTCGACCCACGCATTGGTTTGGAACAACTTGCAGGGGACTTGGTCTGGCGCCGACAAACCTCAACCAACGGACGGGACCAAACACATGCCTGTAAATCCGATCGGATCAATGTGCAGGTATAGAAAATGGGCCCGAAAGGCTGGTTGCCGTCTCTGGCTTCCCTTTCGAAAGCCTCTAAGACTCTAAGGGACTCGAAGATAAGAACCGCCGTAACACAAACTTGGGCCATATCGGCCGAAGTGAGCTGTTTTTGGGCCAAGTTCTGGAAGACTCCGGTGGGCCCGGTGCAACCGCGCGCGGCTTGTGGAAAGTGGAGTTCGTTTTTCTATGGACCATAGACCTGGATGCTTCCGACCGAAGCTCATGGGATGAACCCAACATGGCTGGAGCAGAGTAGAAAGCGGGGAGGTTCGGCGCCGGGGAGGTTCGGCGCCGGGGAGGTTCGGCACTGGGGAGGTAGGGTTCTTCCCCTTCAAATTCAGCATTGATGATCATGGCCCTATTGAACACCACCCAGAAACGAAACAAATCGCAAGAATAAGTGACAAGTCAACAATCACGCCTGGGAGGACGGCCGCTCTGGGCCAACGTTTAGTTATTTCTCGCGAGTTTGTCGGGCAAATGTCAGGTTGTTTTTCCAATTCTTGTAGGGGTGGGTTGGGGGGAGGGCAATTGATTTGTCTTATACATCTTGCGAGTGAACCACCAGGCCTCTTTTTGTCGTCCTTCAGGGCTCGGAATGCCCTAACACACCATGCGCAGTGGAGGTTGCAGGAAGTAGTTTTTCGGGCATGCTGTACGCGTGATCTAGGCGCCCCGCGGTGGTGTTGCCACCGATGGAACGCCCTGCGCGGGCCTCGGCGTCAAATCTTGTCTCCGACAGGGGACAAGTAAAACTTCCTGAGCCCCCCTCAGTTTCACCAGCGGTCAACTGTCTGCGGGTCCCCGCTTGATAGGACCTGCTCTTCCCTGCAAGGCCAATGTACTTCCTCCGCCAAATGCCAGCATTGCACAATGCGGGAATTCGCAAAAAGAGGGATTTCAGTTCGAAGAGCCCCAATGTGTTTGTCTCTTTGCCAGGGCCTTTTCGGAAAAACGTCCTCTCTGTGTACATTTCCGTTGGTGGGACGGGAGAGAATCCACCCCCTTCTGGGAGCTTCTTCACCCACGGAAAGCAGTCAAAGGTGAAACGCAGCCCGCAAACATTCCATGCAGGTAATATACACCAACTTTCGCCTCATTTGGAGGGTACATGTGGGCAAATATTGCATACATGGGTAGTGGCAGAGAAGGAGATAAAGATTTCAGCACCGCATCGAGTCCTCCCGGAAGGCATGGAACCTCCGAAAGGCATCCTAGAGGAATCTCCTTTGCTCACTCTGAGTGGATTGGCCGAACAAAAATCCAAACTTTCCATTTATCACTAAGATGGCCTTCCCGCCCCCAAAAAAAATCCTGGAACTCGGGAAGTGAGCTTAGTTTTGGGGAACTCCTGATCTTGGGATCCAAGAGCCGGGCCAGAATGACAGCTGCGCGCGCCTGGCAGCGCACACAAGGCCGTTGCAAACTCCGGCCTTGTGATCTGGCCGGCCAGGGGTCCTTAATTTGCTTGATTCCCCTGAAAAAACAGAATTCCTGTGGTGATAGAACCCCTTTTTTCAACCAACAAGGGAAAACACACATATTCTGAAAGCAAATGGAAGGTTCCAAAGAGAAATTCGGCCCCGAGCAATGCGAGCGAATCAGAGAGATACCGTTTAAGTTCCTAAATGTGGCGGGGTACTTCCAAAAAGCAGGTACGTCATGATAGGAGCAGAATCTTGTTGAAAAGTCTACTATTGGCTCAAGCTCTGGGAGTTATCAACCCAGATTTGTTAACTTGCAAGGCACACCTTTTACTCTTGGCAGAAACGCACATCACATGCAAGGGTTGATTGATCCGGGCTGCACTGATCAGCGCAGCCTTGATTTGCACTCACTTGAGCCATGGGCCATCATATATGCCAATTTGCGGAGTAAATAAAGAGGGGAAATCACTTTCGGAGACCGGGGTCCTAATTTGGGTTGGCGACATCCTTTCGAATGCCCCGCTAAGCACATCATTCAAGTAGTGAAAACCACTCTGCACAAGGTTCGCGTTGTTCCCCCTCACCTTTGAGCGAAGCTTGAGTATGCCTCAATTTGGGCTTCGTGCTGCCAACCGCAAATCCACCAAGTCTGAAGCTTGCAAACGAGACCTCCCGGCCGAACACCGCGCGGGGCGCTGCGTGTGGCCTGGTTGCCGGATGCGCTTTGCAACTGCTCCCAGTGCACCCTGACCTGTCTCAGCATGTTGCCCCGACTAAAAACAACAAAATCTCTCAATCTCATCATGGGTGAGACTGCGCGCGCTCCTACCATAGTTGCCCGAAAAAGTGCCGCTCATATATTCTGCATCTATATACATGATATTTAGTATGATTGATATTTCTATACTCGACTGCACCGAGGGAGTTCCAATACTTGGATGCAAACAAAGGCCTTGGGAAACCTGTGGTTGTCAATTTGTGCGCGGTTTCCTTTCGGAGAAACAGCCATAGCCATCGCTGTTACTGGGCCCAGGAGACCCCCGCGAGAATGGGCCACGCGTGCCCGCAACAGATCCGCGAGGGGCGGACGTTCCTGCAAACACTCCAAAGCTGCTGCTTTGGAACATACAAACCAACCTCGCCCATGGCCCAACGGATCCTACACCAGCTGTCATTGCAGGTTAGTTAAGGAGTTGCTTGGTCACGCAACTCACGAAGACACCAACTTAGAACTTGGAGCCTTTCACACGTTGCTGGCCGCGCTTCCGGGCTTCCGGCCGGTTGAGCTGCAACGCGGCAGCGTAGCCCTGGCTGTGGGAAGCCCAGCCCAGTGACCAACAAAACGGGAGCGCCGCTTCAGTCGCGCGCCGCGCGGGCGGCAAGATGAGGGCTTCTTACGGCCGCCCTGCGCAAGCCGCGCGAAAACCGCTCGGAAGTGTCCAGGCGCAACCTCAGGAAACCGAGCCTTGCGCAGCTGCACTTTAGTCCAAGTCCGCTTGCCTGGCGTGTGGCAAACGCGTCATGTCTGTGTCGACGTTATCTCCAACCCCCCTGGCTTGGAGGCCACCGGCCACGGTCAGTCGAATGCACATAACAATGTATCGGTTCCCAGGTCGAGACAATCCAACAAGCTCAAAGCGCCCCTCTCCTTCCTTCCTTCCTTGTGCGAATCATACGCTGGAAAAAAAAAACACGGGCTTTTACAGTCTAAGCCTTGCATGGTTTCAGTAGACATCGACACTTCCGAACCCCACCCCGGCTTTGCCCAAGCAGATTCATGCAATGAATCTTCAGACACCTGTGTAGGTACCTCCGCCTTGCCAGTGATTACCGTTGAGCGGATATTCTGTCAGGCTTCTTGCAGGAGATGTTGCAGCCGTGGCACCAGTCACTCCTATGAGAAGTCGATATAGGATTGCGTCCAAATCAGAGCCGATCACCCGCGTTTCGGCCATCCGTCAACGCGGCTCCAAAACGATTTGACGCACCCGCCGAAGGGTCTGCGAAGCCGCCAGTATTGCCCAGACCAAATAAACAACAAGAAGCCCAGACTATCCACTGCGACCCGGGACCAAGCCATGCCTTTACCAAAGTAGCAATGAATGCGGACTCGTTGAACAGCTTTGAGTCCAACATCGATTGGATTTTGTATCCAATCAAGGATTGCGCCCTTGCGGGGAGCTCCCTAAGCTTGAATCCTTTGCTTTGGGCGTTTATGGCGTTTCCCTGCGTTACGTTCAAGAAGAGATCATAGCCAACTATCAGACCTGCAGCCACGGGTAAGGGGGCACTCGGCTTCTTGGTCAGTCTAAGTTGCGACCCGCAAAAGGACCAAAGGGAAAACCAACAAACTTGCCGGCTATGTGCAAGTGAGCAGTCAGGGAAGTCTCCTCCAAAAAAGGAAGCCACAGACACGAACGGAGGGAGGTCTTGGGGGATCGATGATCCGGGCCGATTTGGGCTTCGCCGAACCACAAATCTGTGACTCCGCGCCCTATGCAGCCTAACATCCCCTGCGCGCGAGGGCGCACCGTTGATTTCGATCCAATGTCTTCCACGCGAGTTGAACGCATCTGGGGCGAAACTGCAGCTTTCTCCACGCTCAGTATGACAGCTTGATATGGGATCGTTCGTCAAACAGAGGAAGCACTAAAATGGATGGTTTCCTTTTGCCAGAGGTGGGTGAAGGTGGTGGGTTGCAAAAGTGGTGGCGTGGGATCGGGTTAGTAACGCAAACAAAAAAACATGCGCCAAGGATGTGGGTTCAAGCGGTGCGTAGTCAATTCATTGGCTTCCCTTCAAAACCACCCCCCCAAACAAGGCCGTGCCCTCAAAACTAGACACCCATTTCAGCCCTACAGCGACCAGAAAACCGCTGGCTGATCCTGGCAGGCCCTCAGGCAGTCGTGTGCCACTGGGGTACACAGAAAATCGGATGTGTTTTGATTCTGCTCCATACCTTCCATTTGGTTAAAGCTCCTGGAGAAAGGAAACAGTAGTGAAATCGATTCCCTTGAAAACCAGGGAAAACTAAACTAATATTCATCTCAGCAAATAAAAAATACGGGGTTCTCAAAGTTAGGAACTACTCCAAGTGCTTGGTGTCCTTTGGTCCCTCTGAAGAAAACATCCACAGGGCTCGAACATTTTGAGACAGACCCATATTCTGTCTAACCTTAAATACAACATGGATGTGTCTTTTTGTTGTTGGCACCCTTTTTGGGGTTGGTTTACAGGAAGCCAAAGGAAACGCCAGAACTTCTGTTCTCCAAAACGTGGGGGTCCCCTTATTTTAAGCCACACCCATATATCTTTTGAGAAGGTCCCAGTAGCTGGGCATGTTGTACCCACCGGCCATTTGGAGACCCTCTTAAAGTACACAACGGTCGGGAAAAGTCAACCATTTGCGCATCCGCTGTTTTATTTTTGGAGGGGGGGGAAGTGTTCTCCTTTTTTTGTTGGGGGGGGGAATCAATACACATGGAGGACACCCTGGAAAACTATGGTCTACATTCAAGCCACCGTAGCTTGTTGAAATCAGCACCTCTAGCCAACGTTAGCACCCTTTTCCTTCTACTTTCTCCAACATGTACCTTATTACTTGCCTCAACTCTCAACCTGAACCTACCCGAACCTACTCACAGGCTCACCTTTCAAGTCATTCCCTGTGGATCCCAGTTACCGAACTAGTCGACCAGCCATGTTCCTTTTGGTGTTTGGTGACCTCTGGCTGCTAACAACCGAAATGTCTGCGGCGAGGGGAAATGAATCCTGTGCCTTTGAGATCAGCAAGCACCGCAGCATCTCCTCCGCCCAGATCTCGGCGAACCCCACATCAAATATCCGATTCTCAGTTGCCCCTTAGGGACCCAGAAACAAAAGGTGCTCACCTCTTGGGGAAACATGGAACAAAAGGGAACAACATGGGGAAACTAAAAATGGGTACTTCAAGTCGATTGGCTTTGGGCAACCTAGGATTCAGAGCCACAAATGGAGCCATGGGAAATTTCCGCTGGCCCGTGGCAGTGGCTCTTCTTGCTATGAATCAGCACAGCCACGTCTCCAAATACCAAGTGTTCTACGGTCTGAGATGTTCTGGCCACGGCCTTTACCGATGGAAAACCGGGGTGGTTCTCAACAAATACAAATAATTCACACGTGGCCATGGGACAAAAGGACCTGGCTCCTTATTTTGGTCGCCGAGTTTAAATGTGCGAAAGGGTTTGAAACAGAGTTTCGGGATGGATAAAACAGGCCCTAACCCACCAACAAGAAGAGACCACCTTATCCCCCCCGGTCCCAAGAGCAAAGCAGTTGCCCCCGGCCGGCACAAACACGAACCAAAAGGGGTGCCAGTTTAACAAACAGAAGAAAGAACCCAGCAAGGGCAAGCAGCGCAGCAAGCGCACAAGCAGCAGCACCAACGCGGGCAAGCAAAGCGAGCGAAGCGAGCAAGCAAAGCAAACCAAGCAACCAGCAACCACCACCTCCAGCCTTTGACCTGCTCCACCTCGAGGCCAACCACAGCCGCGCCAGCCTCGGCCCTTTTCCAGACCGTGGATGACGTGCCGCGCCGCATGGCACGAAGTGACGAAACAGCAAAAGGGAAGTGCCGTGGCAAAAGCTTGAGCCAAAAGCCGCGTTGGGCTTTGGCATGAAACATGCTATGATAAAAGTACATGCCCCCAAAAACACCCCCCTCGCCTGTACAAAGAGAAGGAGTGAATTTGGAAGGGCGCATTGGCCATATTGAAGTTGAAATGCAATGAACAAGACAAACAAAGCCGATTAGGCTACCAGGGTTCGCGACCCCATACCCGGGCACTCATTGGCGCCCGGATCCCGCCACCACCCCGAATTACGGGTATGGGGCGGATTCTCGCCGGTAGCCAAATCAAACAAGAGAAAGCAACAAAAGAAAAGAACAACGGATCAACTTCGGAATGGCCGGCATGAAGCCATTGAATTGTCATTTGCGTTGCAACCACATTGAACCATTTGATTCGAGTGGATTTAATCTTTAATTATCGGATTATGCGCATTGGCCAGTTGGTTGAAACATGGTGCATAGACCAATGAGCCTTGGTTATAAATTTGCACCGTCTAGGCGCGCGATCATTCGAGGACCATCGCCATGGATACCACCAGCAGCGATCCGCGGTTCAGGTCCGAGTAGGACATCACCGGCAGCGGTGCAGGGCACCCGTGATCTTCACCTCGGCACCTTGATGAGCATCATCACCAGCAGCAGCAGCGGTGCAGGTGGATGCAGATCACCAGCGGCCATAGACGCCGCCGAGAGTGACTGCCTTGCTGCGGCGATGCACACCTGACAGGTAATCGCAGCTTGCGCGAATAGCGCACAGCTACGCATGCAATTGAATTCTGAAACGGCGACTAGCCCAGACAAAGAAATACTACAAGGAGCATACCCTGTGAATCCGTCAAGACAATTAGCGGGGGCAAGACATTTTTTACCGTGAAAGTTATTTTTTACCGTGGGCAGTTCTTTTACCGTTGCCGTTGCCGTTGCCGTTGCCGCGAAAAGTTAATTTTTTACCGGGGAAATTGCCGTGGCTGTTGCCGTGGCTGTTTGCCAAGGTGCAGTAGTTTCGCAATAATTCCTTCCAAACTACTGCGAAATTATCTCAGCGCAGTAGTTTCGCAGTAGTTAGCTCCAAACTACTGCGGAATTAGCTCCAGTGCAGTAGTTTCGCAGTAACTACTTCCAAAATAGCCATTGCCGTTGCCGTTGCCGTTGCCGTTTTTGTTGCCGCGTTTTTTTGCCGTTGCCGTTGCCGTTGCCGTGAAAAGTTAATTTTGCAAGTCAATTAAGAAGTCACTAATTGCCGCGAAATGGGAATTGCCGTGAAAGTTAATTTTTACCGTGGGACTCTCTAATTGTCTTGACGGATTCGTTGGGTAGTCCATTTTGCGAATTCCGGGATGAAAGCATGCGCGCGTTGGCGCAGCCATGCAAAACGCATGGACAGACTTCAGGTATCACCGATGTCGTCCACCGCCGTGCCGCCCCTTCCCCTTGCTGGCATTCCAGTCCCCTGGGGGAGGAGGCACGGTCTCGGCCAATTCGTCACCGTCACCCCAAGTAGGGGTATGCGGCGAGTTCGGATTCTCGAACTCGCGGGGATCACCCTGCATATGCGGCTGCCAACCCTGCGGCATTGCGCCAGGCCACATTTGTGGCATCATACCAGCCATGGGCTGTTGCATGTACCCTCCCATTGGGAAAGCGGGGTACATCGGACTCGGGAACGGGAAAGGGGCTGCCTGAGCACCCTTGTACCCCGACCCGCGAGCATCAGGCTGATACCCGCCAGTTGGAGTTCTCGATCTGGCGGATCCGCCACGACCGAACTGCCCTTGTTGGTAGCCGTATTGGCCACCCTTGCCTTTGTACTGGTCACCCTTGTGACCTTTTCCTGGAAACTGGTCACCCTTGTGACCTCCACCCTTGGGCCAGGATTGCGCAGGGGCTTTGCCCTTTTGCTGATCTCCCTTTGACCTGGATTCAGGTCGCGGGGTAGCAGACCGTTGGTCTCCCCTAGGAGTGGCTGCCCGCCTATGGTGCTTCCCAGCCGGCGGGTCAGCAAAAACAATGGCGCATTGGCCGTCGCGCTGTGCAGCGGGGACCATGTCAACCTTGTTGTCTTCGACATAAATGTATGCCTCAGCATACTCAATCGGGGCCGTGATGGATCCACCACTGGCCCGCAGAGATTCGATGCTCCAATCAAGAACAGTGGAGGCATCAAAACTTGGGTCTTCACTATTGAAGTCCGCGAGGCGTCGCTCAGCCTGCACCAATGACATTATGATGTCCGCGCGTGAGGCGCCTAGGCCATACAGCGGAACCAAATATCCGTCCTCAATTCCGATGCGGTAGGCATCATAAATATGCACAGAGAGGTAAAGGGCAAATGCTGAATTTAGACTGCCCTTTCTCGTCATATGACGACCCCATTGCGCCGCCTGTTGCGGGTGCTCAATCAAATATGTCATGACAGACATATTGTCGGGAATTGGGACGCCAGTGTTGCTCTCCTCGATGAGCAGCTGTTTCGCTACCCACCGCTCGAGAGCCTCGTCACTCGCACGCACAGAAGCGTGGGTGTCCTTTGAGGTGACCTTTGCAACCTCCTGAAACGCAACTTGTACAACATCCGCATTGGGATTGTGCACAAGGTGCGGCGCAGCGCAAACCGGAGATCATACAGCTGACCACCTCGCGGATCGGGTTTACCGATGCCATGAGAGGAGCCCATGCGTCGGTCTCCCCTTCATACCAGCTGCTGGCACGGACTGCTTTGAGTCCGTCTAACCAGACTGGTTGCCCACTCCTAACCAGAGAGCGGACGGTGCCTGGCACCCACTCACGATAGAAAATCGGCAGATGGCAACCATTGCATAGAATGGTGCCATACATATTCAAATGCGCGCACCGAGGGCACCAGTAGTCATGCATGGGAGCTTTGTCCCACGAAAATGGCACCCCTCTCCGCGGTCCCTGAACATTCAACTCACGGACCGCCCAGGGACGGATGTATATTACATCCCCTTCCTGGTGCAGATAGCATGCGCGCCAGAAGGGCGCATGTATCTCCTCTCGCACAGCGATCAAACCGCGTCGGGTTTTGTAGATGCCGGCGGCTTCCTCGATGGCCATCCACTTCAGGTCAACGGCCACAACGACATGGCGCTTGTCCATGTATTTGACGCGATCGTCAACATAAAATTCGCCCTCATTATTGGGGCTGGGTAACTTGAGGAGAGGCACCTTTGCGCCCTCCATCCCAATCATGATCTCCCCCCTGCAGACCTGCTCAGGCCGCATGGGGAAAACTGTGATGGCGAATTTGCCAGGCCTCCGAATGCACCTCGTTTTGAGGGCGGACCGATACTCGGCCATCGTCAGCAGCACGTATCCCGTATAAGGGACTTCTGCTGCTCCCATCGGCCTAAGCAAAGGCCCGATAGGCGTTCGGTCACGCAGTGCCCAACGCTTGAAAACTTTGAACGGCACGTCCCTCCCGATTAGGGTGGATCGCGCAAAAAGCACCTCATTCGGGCGCACAGTCGTGCCATCTGTCCTCCAGACTGTCCGTATTAGGAGCTCGACTGGAGGGTACGTTGGGCTCTCCTTCGCGAGAGCGCCCGCCCATGTCGCCACCTCGACACTCGTGCACTTATGGATCCCGTATAGGGCCTCAAAGAGCGTTGAGATTAGAGTCATTGACATCCAACCTCCCAGAATGTCTGGAACCGTCCCACACAAGAAGGGGGCCGGCTCACCGGACTTCACATTCAACCGCGTTGGGTCAGTGTTGCCCGACAAAATTTCTAACAGCATTTGCGACTCTCTGGAGCTTCGTCCAGCCATCGCCGACACATCCCTAATTTCGGGGAAAAAATGGAAGATGTCGTTACCGGCAGGACAGGCGATTCTGCCTGCTATCCCGCTCTGCGCATCAATCACAACCTCTTCACCCTCGTATGTGAGGTTGTAGGTGCTCGTAATCGGGCACACACCGGGCTTTGCCATCAGTGCCTCTTCTAACGACGCACCTGCAGGGAGGACGCCCTGTACGTGCGACTTGGTACCAATGGGACCAGTACTCGCTGACATAAGCCGATAATTTTCGGCGCGAAAGTGTGGAAAAAGGCTTTTCATCCGCTCAATTTCCTCTTCAGTGGTACGCCACGCCTTTGCCTCATAGTACGGCGGCTCCTGCTTTGAGGGCACTAGGTCGCGGTCGCCCATTGATGAGAATTTGTCCACATATGGGCCC